GAGACAGGGGCACAATACAACATAACGACAAAGATTTAAAAGCACATGATCATCTATGAAATTTTGCTAAGTTTCAGTTATTAAGCTGATTCAGTAAGTGCTGTTTAAGGGTTTTGTTCACAATTATAATAAACATGTTTTTCATGCTTCTAATGAGAGGTTGTGAACTGGCAGCTAGCATATGAAACATTGACCTGCTGTTATTTCTCCATAGATGTTAAATGGCTCACTGTGTACTTCCAACCTTTACTGATTTTATTTCCCGCCAGCTTTGGTAACATAATTCAAGGAATGGTACTTATGCTCCCTATGCCAATATCACTAAAGGACTGAACTGCCATGTGACTCTCAGAAGGTTGTATTCTAATAGAATGCAAGGTTGCCCCTCGTGCAGTGCATATTGAATCATTCCAGTCTGTTCAGTATAAAGGCCACGACAAAATTAGCAGTTTAAAGGTTTGGCAGCAGTTTGAGAACTAAATGTCTCTTCAGCTTTCAAAATAACAGTCATCACTGACCAAAAAGCACATAAGTCAGGGATTTGCAAATAATAAACTCATCCAGAAAAACACAAAATAGATCCTAAAACACAGTGCTCCCTCAAGAATTGTATGTACCAACTCACTGCTGAACCAACACTAAACACGCAAATAAGTAAAATGCCGTTGGGCTTTGCACATTCCTATGCTCGCATGCTTCTGAAGATGTGACAAATTTGCACCTTAACCATCTGCTTATACTGATGTATGACAGGGTGGTTATTCATTCCCCTCATCTCCACGGATACTGTCTGAGTGATACATGATGGTAGAGAGGCTGAAAATATGCAGTGAAGTAATTCCTGCCCACACCAATTACCATTTGGCTTAAGGAGTAACAATTGTTAAAGTAGAACCATTTGAAGTGCTATGGAAATATCTGACAACATCAATATAACTTTTAAAAATGAATTCTGATTTTTCATCAGAATTTTTTTTGGGTTAGTGGCCAAAAAGAAAAGTGCATAACTATTACAAATAAGTGATTACAGTTTAAAGCACCTTCCTACAATGGTGCCAATCAGTGTCCATTTATTGCCTTATTATCACGCATCTAGTGACTCAACGTTTCATTATTACAATGCACTGATATCTATAATTCTAGCTTGTGTTTCAGCCAACAGAATGTGGTCTTTGTTTTGTTACTCATAGAATTTGCAGTTACAAGTGCTGCTTACACATATCTCTGCTTTATATTATGCTTTGGGGTGTTTTTGTTTGCTTCATGGATTGCACTCACACAATGACCTTCCCTCAACCCAATGATTTATAGAAAATTATTTTGGCATGGAAGTTATTTCTTATTTGTCATTCAAGATGAAGCTCTGTGTTTGCCATCAATAGTATTTGGCGGAGTTCTGAGGAAGGGTCACTGGACACGAAACGTTAACTCTGATTTCTCTTCACAGATGTTGTCAGACCTGCTGAGCTTTTCTAGAAATTTCTGATTTTGTTTGTGTTTGGTAGAGTTCTGGTAGGTTTACAAGTGACCGCTAAGGCTAATTTGTACCCAGAATGAATAACCATCCTGTCACACATCAGTATAAGCAGATGATTAAGATGCAATTTTGTCACATCTGCAGGTGTGCTTTGGTCAAGCTTCTGGTCCTGGATTGCCTCTGTCCTGCATTTTCTCTGTACTTGTGATCTGCTTACTTTCGAAGGAGGCACATTCAATTTGGTTGTACCAGATGCAGTGATCCTGAACGTTCCCATTACTCAGCAATTATTGCCCACCTGTTGAGAAGCTGGTGGTGAAATATCATCTTGAACTGCTGCAGTCCATGTGGTGCAGGTACACAGATTTTATTACATGACCATCCCACCCCAGTTGTGATTGTAATAATATGGCACGTACTTGGCATGCCAGTTTGAGTGAGCACCTCAGTTTTTTGCATTTTGTCCTGCTGTCTCACCTTCAGAAACTTTGAAAAGTAGTTCAAGTAAAAGGTGTCAAGCTTCTTAGCCTGACATTAGTACACAATCTAAGCCTCACATGCAGAGAGCAGAGTGGGTAGGAGTGTTCCTCTGCAGACTTACTCATCTTCATTTCCTACTGCTGGGTGAAGTTTAAGAAGGATACAGTTGCTTTGCCAGTTCTTGTATGTTTCTCATCATCAGTTTGGACAGCTAGAGACAGCCAAGATAAGTGACGATATAAGCTGACAGCATCTTGCCAGAGGCTTTGAGATCCATATACAGCTTTAATAGAGCAGGCTGGTAAATTACTTCAGTATTCTTCATGGTGATCGTGAGGCTAAAGTTGGATTTATAGGAGGGCAAAACCATGTTACATTGCATTTCCAGCTCTGAGACGACAACAATCACTTGCAAGCAAGGAATCATTAAGTATGTCCTTTGCCTGGAGTCTTCTTAGCTAGAATGTCTAAAAGTTCAATGGAATTTGAAACATCTGCTCCCAATTTGGAAAGGGCTTGTTGAATGAGGTGGAAAGAAAATGTTCCTTGAAAATTTGGCTCTGCTTTGGCCAATTTTGTGCTCAGACACTCAACATCACTTTTACTATGAGCATAAGTTCAACTACAATGCAAAAATAAACCCCACCACATTACTGTCCGAAGTAACTGATACTAAGAAGTCATCATTCAAAGTCATGATCCTGAAATGATGAGCTAGGACACCATATATAAACAATCAATTGTTATTGAAAGCCCTATTTACTAATATTTCAGTAGAGGTTTTAGTCCTTTTTTTCAAAAATGGGTTATGGTGTCTGCTAAGCAAGTATAGAAATAAATGTACAATGGGGTAAGTCTCTACGTAACTGTGTCATGAAGTGTAATTTTAACACCCCGGCATTTAGCCTATTCTTACGTATTTTAACTTTTCTCCTATAGTGGTGTCTAATAGAAAGTTAAACCATGAAAAAAACATTTGGCACCTGTAAAAATTATTAAATGTTGCAATGATTGTAAACTTTCTAAAATAACCTTATCACATGCAATAAATCAATTGAAAATGTTTTACCATTGTTCCTGTAGTATTCTGCATATTGTAGTGTAATCCGAGAGAAACATTTAAAACGTATTTAAGTTGCTAACTTTCTGAAATCGTAGTGTCTATTACTCACCAACACTCCCAATCTATTGTAGTAAACTATTTATGAAATGTTGTCTATTTCTTATAAAGCATGCCGTACGATGAAAATTACCTCAAAGATCGCAAATACCATGTATAATCACAAACATATCATTTATAATGACCATTTATCAATAATTTTGGCTATACAGCATTGACTTTGGCTCGTAGCTACATTTAGAAACCATCTATCTGTGAAGAGCAGCTGTGTAGACTGTAGTGATGACCATTTTAAGTAAATTTCACTGTGTAAATTTATTGCAGTCCAGCAATAACCATGCAGGGCTCTAAACTGCAAAGCCTGTTCCTTAAAGCCAAGTGACTTGATGATTTGTATTGAATAATACAAACAATGCTCATAAAATTCTGGTGCCCTGAGTAAAAAATATAAGCCAAGCTTCAGACACATCCATTGCACTAACATAGTAAATTACATAGTTAGGCTGTCAGGCCAATGGTATAAGTTCAGTTGTAAGGTAATAATCAATAACCCATATTAGAGCTGTGGGATGAAAGTTAATTACATACATTGACATTGTGCATTTTTAATGAGTGGTATAGGGTAGAAGCCATATACTTTACATTAAGACTAGAAGGTGGTCATCAATTATACACAGAAGAATTATAAGCCACCATACAATTATACACATTGAGGTGGGAGGCTAAAATGAATGACACATGTTAGAGCTGTAAAATGATTTAATGCCAATTCATGATGATTGCATCATATGTTGCTGTGAACACTGTCACTCTAGTCTATATTCTGAAATGTGCCAAAATATTTTGAATCAAACAGATATCACTGCAATAAGAATATGCTTTTACCAAGAGACATCCAAGCATATAAATCAGTGGGGCAGATGTAGAATCAGGTCTATCATTCAACCTGAGACATATGCAGTATCACGACATGTGCTGAAACTGCCCAATGTCCCCTTACCGGTATGAGTCTGATTTTGAAGTGAATAGATTTGCAGTCGTAGATCGATTCAGCATTCATGACAAGGCCTTATCCGTAACAGGAGCTGTGCTTGCTAACCTACACCCACATCTAATTCAACAACCACAGGATTTTTTTTTAGAAGTATCATTTTTGTTTTCAAATAATTCCCAGGCTTTGCCTGTCCTGATCTCAGCAACCTCCTTCAGCCCTACAACACTTACAAATTTCTGCACTTCTCTATTTGTGAGTCTTCTACATACACAGTTTTCATCTCTTCTTCACTGGAGCTCATGCTCCTGGCCATCTAGAACTCAAGATGTGGAATGCTTTCCCTGAATCTCTCTGCACCTCAATCTGTCTGTCCTCCAATGACCTGCACCTTAGAATGCAACTCTTCAGTCAAGCACTAGGCCACCTGCCCTAATATAGTATTCTCTTAATTGGCTCAATGTCAAATTTTGTCTTATTACACTCTGATTAGTTAGAGGTGCAACATAATTGAAAATTATTGTTGCTACCTTCACCTGCAGATCACGATGATTGTGTGTAGTGACTCAGAAGAAACAGAGAGTTCAATATATGTAACTGAAGCTGCATTAACGTAAGACTGCCTTCCTTGTGCAGCCAGGTACATACAAAAACTGGTGCATTAGTTCAATAACTAGTCTGAAAAGCACAGTGTAAATGGATAGTGGGCATCTCTGCTCTCAAACATTTGAATAGAGGATAATTGATTCTTTCCAGCAGCCCACCACATTGTGCATGGGTTGTGCTGCACATTGTGAACTTACAGGGCTGTTGCCAAAGTACCATAAATCAAAAAGGACTCAGTGGATGCAGGCTGAATATTAAGAGGAACACGGTACCTGAGTAGGCATCATCTTTCTACATGGCTGCATTTAAAGTGAGACTTTACCTACCAGTAGCATTGCTGAGCTTGAATGAAACCATCTTGTCAGGGATATTACAAACATTTCTGACTGATGCAATGCAACTATAATTCGCATAATCCAGAGGACGTAGATTCTTCAATTTCAGGATCTTTATTTCACCCTGTTTAAAAAACAGTAATTGAGTAAAAATATATTTTTTGTAATGTAATATTGAATGAACAATCCACTTATTGCAAAAGTACCCCAAAAGGTAGCAACATACAATGGTGAGTAAAACTTAAAACTCAATGACCCAAACTTTTGAATAGGTGATATTATTTCATGAAATGATGTAACAATAGTCAAGATTCTTGTAACTGAACCTGTTTGATATCTTGGGCTTGGCTTTAAGTTATACAGCAAACTTGACAGGGTAGAAAATGTGAAATATTTACAGTGAGGAAGAAAGCGCAGCCTACACTTCAACTGATTAGATTTCAGTTTTCAAAGGAGATGTGATCATCGGTTGAAATTGTGGTGATCTTAAACTTGAATTTGACCTCAGTTGAGGTCACTAACGCAAATTACAAGCAAAGCAGGCTGAACACATTTTTAATAACTGATATGATCCAGAGTCATATTTTTCTTTTTGAGGGAAACAGATTTACACTTCAACCATCTTAGTAATTACTGTGCTTCAATTGCTGATGTTAGCCTGAACAAGAGGATTCTACCTTCTAAGTTATCTTCTAAAATCAAATGATTGAACCAAATAATCTGACAGTGAAATACAAATGAAAGCTCTTGTCAAATTTAGGACAGCATGAGACCCTAATACATTTCATCTTCAGTCTCATATTTTAACCATGCAATTAATCCTCAATTTATTCATATCATTTTAATGTTGCTTTGATTATAACAGCTGTATTCGATGACCAGCTAGTATTCATGTCTCATTTTCTTTTCTTTTACTGAACTATAAATTTCCCTACATTCAAATGTCTATTTAAATTTCAACATGATCTTAAAAGGCAGGTGGTGAAATAACAGTTTTTCTTCTTTTTTGAACTTTTATCCCATGATGAAAAGGGAACACTTAACCTAGAGTAGATATCTGACCACTTCTGGGTATTAAAAGTTGAATATACTAGCATTAGAACATAGCACATTCAACTAAGTATTTTACTACTTTATGATCAATTCGTAGACTTCAAATTATTTTTGCATGTCAGTGTTCAGTTCTCAAGTACAGTATGTAAATATCTTTTCAAGAATTTAAGTACCATTATTTTTCTGTGTGTGTATGTTTTTGAATCAGTACTTACACATTTTGTGCTAGAATATACAAGTCATTATAGTGGATTGGCAAAAGTACATTAACAAAACTTCTTTAATGATCTCAAACTGAAATTGGTTAACAATGGGAGGTATACTAAGCAGCAAATCCTGGTTTGAATTAAAATTAAATTGAAATAACAATTGTAAGCAGATACATAGATTCAAGTGTGTAGATTTGCAGTTGCTGCCTGTTTTGAACAGCAATGTATGTGCCAGATAATTATCACAATCAAATCGAAATTCAGGATCATGCTTTCAGTCTTTAGTGACATAGAAGATTTAAGCCTCAAGATCCTTCTGATCTTTTGGGTTTAAGCAGGTGATATCAGAGAAGTTACCTCCGGGATAACTGGCTTGTAGCAACCAAGCATTCATAGTAGTGTCAACTTTGGATCCTTCAATGTCAGATCTTCTATCATTGTAAAGCAAAACTCAGCAAGCATTGGATTTTTCACCTACTAATAGGGAATGTGAGCTGGGATTAGACCATCATGAGACAGGCTAGTTTTAGCCTCCAGCCGATTGTGATGCTGCAATGCTAATCCTTCTTAGTATGAGAGGAACTGCATTTTCAATATCTTAAAATGAGTGATTACTGAGTTAGCTGATGCATGATCAGTACATTCATTTCCAGATATTACTCTCTGGATATTCCAAAATTCCTTAAATTCAGGGAAGGTTCCAGGTTGGAAAATAGTGAATGTAACTCCTTTATTCACAATGCAAGGAATACGGAAGTCTGGAAATTACAGGCCAGTTAACTTAAAGTCCATTACGGAGAACATGTTAAAAACTTTAATGAAAGATGTTGTAATAGGACGCTTAGAAAAATTCAAGGTAATCAGGCAGACTCAATATAGTTTTGTGAAAGGGAAGTCATGTTTACCCAATTTATTGGAATTCTTTGAATAACTAACACATTGATAAAGGACAATTGGTGGATGTACTGTACTTAGGTTGCCAGAAAACATTTCATGAAGTGCTTCATTAAAGGTTATTGTGAAAAATAAAAGTTCACAGTAAAAGTGTAACATATTGGTATGGATGGAAGATTGGCTAGCAAACAGAAAACAGACTATGGACAAAAAAGTCATTTTCTGGTTGACAAGATGTAAAGAATGGTGCCTCAGGGATCAGTGCTTGAGCCCCAACTTTTTAAAACTTATATAAATGATTTCACTGAAGGGAACTAGGTATGATTGCCACATTTGCTGATGACAAAATGATAAGCTGGAAAGTAAGATTTGAAGAGGACATAAGGAGCCTACAACAGGGACACAAACATGGAGCTTAAATGAGTAGGTAATGACCAGGCGAATGGAGTATGCCTCATGTCTATATCAACCAACAAACACCAAACCTCATGAATTCCTTTTACCTGCACTTGGCCCATAGCCTAATATATCCCGGCCTCTTGAGTGCTTGTCCAGCTGCTTCTTGAATGTTGCAAGAGTACCTGCCTCTACCACCCTCTCAGGTAGCACATTCTATATTTCTACCACCCTCTGTATGAAAACACTTTTCTTCAGTTAGCAAGTTAGGGAAGAACTTGTGTGACCCTCAGCAGAGATGTTTGTATCATCAACAGTTACAGGTGAGGTGCCGGAGGACTGGAGGTTGGCTAATGTTGTGCCTTTATTTAAGAAAGGCTGTAAGGTGAAGCCTGGGAACTATAGATAAGGTGAATGACAGGTGTCTTCTCCTTAGGGTGGGGAATTTCAAGACGAGGAGGCATATTTTTAAGGTGAAGGGAGAAAGGTATAAAAAAGGCAGAAGGGGCAACTTTTTTACATAGAGAATGGTTCATGTGTGGAATGAACTTCTAGAGGAATTGGTAGATGTGGGTACAGTTACAGCATTTAAAAGACATTTGAATAAGTAATGAATAAGAAATATTTGGAGGGATATGAGCCAAGCGCAGGCAGATGGGATTTGTTTAGTTTGGGAATGTGGTAGCGTGGAATGGTTGGACAGAAGGGTCTGTTACCATGCTGTATGACTCTATAATGCTATCTCCTTCCAATAAATCTGTGGTGACTATTCTTGATCAATCCTTGCCTTTCCAATTGTTTATTAATCCCTTCTCTCAAAATTTTTTCCAATGATTTTCCTCCCAGACATCAGACTAACTGCTCTCTAATTACCTAGAGTATCCCTACTGCCCTTCTTGAATACAAGAACCGCATTAACTATCCTCCAATTATCTGGCACTTTACCTGTGGCCGGTGAAGCATTAAATATCTCTGCCAGGGCCCCAGCAATCTCCTCCCTTGCCTCCCAAAGCAACCTGTGATTAAATCTCTTCAGGCCCTGGGGATTTATGCACCTTTATGCCAGCTAAAACATTTAATACCTCCTCCTTATTAATGTTAAACATGTTCTAGAAATTCACTGTCTCAACTGAAGTCTCCAGCTACAATGTCTTTCTCTTCTGTCAATACAGATAAGAAGTGTTCATTTAAGAATTGACCCATGTCCATTGGCTCCAAACACAGATTGCTCCTTTGGTCTCTAATAAGCCCCACTTTTTCCCTGGTAATCTTTTACTCTTAACATACGTACAAAATGGCTTGTGGTTTTTCTTATTCCTATCTCCCAAAGTTATTTCATGGCCTCTTTCTCGTGTCCTAATTTTTTTTTAAGCACCCTCCATACACTCTATACTTCTGAATGCCAGCCCTGTTTTTAATGGTCTGTACACGACATATGCTTTCTTCTTCATCAAACTCTCAATATTCCTTGTTGTCCAGGATTCCCCGGACCTCTGCCCTTGCCCTTCACTCTTCAATCCACACTGGCCTGACTCTCAATATGCTTCTTTTAGAAGAGTCCCATCTCCAAATTAAGACTTACCTGAAAGTAACTGTTCCAAGTCTATATTCGCCAGATCCTGTCTAATGACATTAAAATTGACCTTCTCCAATTTATACGCTTAACTTCTGCACTATCCTTAAGGACTTTGAAACTGATAGAGTTATGGTCACTAACCCCATGCTCAGCCTTTGATACTTCAACTACTTTTTCTTTTAGAATCCCTACAGTGTGGAAACAGGTCCTTTCAGCCCAACAAGTCCACACCAACCCTCCGAACAACATCCCACCCAGACCCATCCCCCCTACCCTTTCCCTGTAACTCTGCATTTCCCATGGCTAACACATATAATCTAAACATCCCTGAACACTACGGGCAATTTAGCACGGCCAACCTACCTAACCTGCACATCTTTGGATTGTGGGAAGAAACCAGAGCACCTGGAGGAAACTCATGCAGACATGGGGAGAATGTGCAAACTCCACGCAGACAGACGGCCGAGAGTGGAAGCAAACCTGAACTTGACCAGATTCATTCCCTATGATTAGGTGTAGCACTGCCCCATCTCTATGACAAACTACGTAGTGACAGAAGAAGCTCTCCTGGATACACTTTAAAAATTCCACCTCGGCCAGTCCTTTCGTACGAAGGTGATCCCAGTTAATATTAGCAAAGTTGAAATCCCCTACTACTATAACTGTATTCCTCTCACACCTTTCTGTGACTTGTCTACATATCTGCTTCTCACTCTCCCTCTGACCATTAGGAGACCTTTAGCATAATCCCAACAATTTGATTACTCTTTTTTCATTTCTAAGCTCTACTGAGATGGCCTGATTTGAAAAGCCTTTTAAGACATTCTTCCTCTTTCTGCAGTGAAGATTTCCTTTATCAATAATGCCATGCCTCCACCTCTCTTACACCCACCCCCTAACATGCCTGAAACTTCTCTTCCTTAAACTACGTCTGAGTGAATGCAACAATGTCATATTCTCACATGCTGATCAATGTTCTAAGTTCGTCTGCCTTAC